AGTATAACATTATAACATGATATAAAACTCAAAAAAGTTGATTTTACATGATATTGCCCCTTTAAAGTACATTTACATTGTTACATCTTGACTGAGTCGAGTATCTGTGATTATAAATCCTAACATGCTGCGGTTCTTTTCTATTTTAGGACCTGCAGAGCGTTGTGCAGCAGCAGAGGGCAGACGTGGACTCGGCTAGAGATGCCCTGACGTCCCTCAGCCGATCCCATCCATCTCAGGAGTTGTCACGCCTCTCCTCTGACCTCACCTCCATCGCCAAGCGAACAGAGGCTGTTGCCCAACGCTGTGCCAAGACCAGAGGCTCCCTGCAGGATAGACTGCAGCTCCAGTTCAACGGTAAGACACATGACTCACAAGGAGTTTGACAAGCGTCAGACTATTTCAGTGATTTATCTAAGAGTAAATAGACACTGTAACTCATTCCCAGATGAGGAGGAATTAGACTCCTAATAGTGCTTAAAATCTCGATCAAACATGGCTTAGTCACACAAAGCGGTGTGAATTCATTTGTGTTCGTGATGCAACAKATTTGCTGCTGATTATCCTTCGTTTTCCCCCGGAGCGCTCTCAGTCCGCCCACGACAGCCCACACTCCATCAGGTGCGCCGGTGCACTCTCGCTGCCTYGACACACACCTGTGCCTCGGAGTGAGCGTCGCACTCGTCACATCCGCCTCTCGAGGGAGTCGTTTCGGGCTTGTTGTCGAGGCAACGCGACACTGCACAGCGTGGACACGCCCACACTTCCCATCTGCCTCAGCAGATCTCCTCTGCTTCTCCTTCTCGTTTCTTGATTTGTTTTGTTTTTTTAAGTCGTTCTCTGCCTTGGATTATAAAACCATTAGCAGCACGTCATTCCTTTGCTTTTGGCTCAACAGCTCTTTCTGTTCCTCCAAGTAGAGCTCGTCCAAGACTTCAAGTCCTGGCTCGCAGATCTGAAGTTGGAGCTGAAGGACTGTTTTAACCAAACAGGAGATGTCGTCGTCCTGAGAGCCAAGCTGCAAAGACTGAAGGTACTGTTAGATGTCAGTTTACTGCCGTGTTTTTTAATTTGTAAATAAATAAGTAAATCTGACTAATTGTATTATTTTTAATATTTGTAATTTACCTGCCACACTATTTGAGATGTTCAAGTGAAGCTAGTTTTTCAGCAAGCTTTTAGTAGCTTTTAGCTGCTTTTAGCCAAACATTGGCAAACCTTTTTGTTSAGCTCATTTATGAAATGTATGTTGTGACTTTTGATTTTTATAATTATTATACATTTCAAAAAATTAATGATAAACTGTTTCTCATGGGAGTAAATTGAAATGTTTTTTTTAATTTTCTCTTTGAATGCCTAAGTGTTCTTGCTCTATTTTCTTTTTATTGTTGATACTTTTAGTTGTCAGCTAATGTTCTCCTACTTTTAGCTTTTAGCTTCTAGCTAGCCTTTTGCGATGTTTAACTTTTATACAATATTTTGATCATTTTAACCTCTAGCCAGGCCTGTGAGCCTTTTAGCTAGATTTTTGCTACTTTTAGCTGTTTTATGCTACTCTTAGCATTTTTACAGGGTTACCACGGGTCCTTGAAATCCTTGAAAGTTTGTGAATTTGAAAAAAAATATTTCAAGGCCCTGGAAAGTTTGTGAAAACAGCCAAAAATTACACTTGTCCTTGAAAGTCCTTGAGTGTTTTTTGGGGATTGAAATTCTCTATTCACATGACTGATTTTCGTCGTCTTTTAAAAAAATATATATAAAATTTAAAAAAAATACAACTTACATTTGTTGCGGCGGATAACTCAGGGTTACGGTGAACTGACATCATTGTTTCTGACTCAAAAACTTCTATGTTGTTCAGTTTTTCATTGAATTTACATGATATTAAACCTGTTTATTGGTAACATCCTGCGGTAGCAGTAGGTAATTGTCGTTGTGTGTGGTTCTTTAATTTGAGGAAATTGGTACTGGAAAGTCCTTGAAAGGTCCTTCAATTTGATGTTGACCAAGGTGTGGGAACCCTGCATTTAGTTAGCATTTTGTTGCTTTTAGCTACTAGCTGTGCTTTTGATACTTTGTCTTTTATCAATAGTTCTGCTATTGCTAGCTAGCCTTTTAATACTTTTAGCTTTCAGCTTGCATTTAGCAGGTTTTAGTCAGCCTTTGGATAGTTTTAGCTAACTTTTTTATATGTTTAGCTTTTGTAGTATTTTGCTTCTTTTAAATTTTAATTAGCTTTTTGTCCCTTTTAGCCTTTTAGCTAGGTTTTTGATACATTTAACTAAACTTTAGCTACTTTTACCTAGCCTTTCTCTACTCTTAGCTTCTAGCTACCACTTTGTTTATAAATTATCTTTATTAAGTGTTMATAGGGGTTCTGAGCCTACTAGAGTTCTTTAATTGTGATACGTCTATGCTAATGAGAAACTTCCTCCCACCACAGACGTCAGTTGACCAGGCGTCCGAGGGTGAAGAGCGTCTCTCTCAGGTCTGTCAGGAGGCTGAAAAACTCCAGCTTCACCTGAGCAAAGCTGGATCAGCACAGGTCCAAGAGAATCTCTCCTCGTGTCAGAAGGAGTGGAAACACTACCTGGACAGCTGCTCCCAGAGCCAACAATACTTACAAGAGAGCATTGACCTCCTGAAGAAGCAAGTCTTCATGCTTGTAAAGTTTCATATTAGTTCAAATGACCTTTTATTTACCAGAAATGTGCTTCTTTTCTTTCTTCACCCTGTCTTTCTCTTAGTTTTGATGATTGTGTGGWGTGTATAAAAGACTGGATGAAGCAGATGGATCTCAGCCTCAAGAGTGAATCTGTTCTGGAGGCAGAGAGCCAAAAAGGAGCCTGCGATCCTTCAGAAGAGCTGGAGAAAATGGAAAGCCTCAACAAAGACCTCATAGCTCGAAGGTTTGTATAAATGGGAGCCTGAAGGCGAATGTTGCAAAGGTTGTAAGATCAGCTGTTAAACAGTCTGAACAATAAATTTTTTTATTATTTTTTTATTTTATTTTGTAGGGAGTCTGTCGAGCGTCTCTGTCAGGAGGCCCAGGCTCTCTCTGAATCCGGCCGGGGGTCAGGAGGCGAGGTCAGAGTGACGGGCCAGCTCCAGATGGAGTATCAGGCTCTGCTGAAGACGGCCAGAGACAGGCTTCGGGGCTGCCAGGAGAGCCAGGCCTTTGGAGACACCCTCCAGGGAGTTTGGGCCTGGCTGGAGGAGATCCAGGAGCGTCTGGGTACAGTAGACAGCACGATGGGGACGAAGGGGCAGTTAGAGCAGAGACTGGAGGCTGTGCAGGTGAGGCACCGCGTCACGAGAAGGGARCCTTTTCAGCTTTATTATATTTGTCTGAGGTCCGGTTCACAGAAACCCTGCTGTGTTTGAACAGGACATCCTGCTTCTGAAGGGAGAAGGGGAGGTGAAGCTGAATATGGCGATGGGGAAAGCTGAGTTGGCTCTGCGCAGCTTCGGAGCTGCTGGACAGGAAGTGGTCCGATCTCAGCTTCAGGAAGTGGAGGACGCTTGGGCCACGCTGCTCGTCACGGCCATGAGCTGCCATAGGTACCCTGCTGGAATTAAACCCATCAACGTCCCAGATGATACAAGTGATAAAGGCCCTGTCACACTCAACATCTTATGCCAACTTATGAAACATTTTTTACGTCTAAATTGCTAACATGTGCATGCCGAAAAGAAGTTTCCTGTTGATTTTTTTCAACTCCAGCTTCAACGTAGACGTCTTTAGCAGTTGGCACTGAAATTCCTTAAAAGCGTTTTGACATTTTTGAAAAACATATCTGAATTAAATTAAGTACTGTTCATGAACCTTATGGAGTAATTTCAAAAGTTGGGTCTCATTGGAAAGATAACAATCTGAATTTTTAACTTCAAACAGTCATAATTGTTAAWACTAATACTTTTTAGTTATTAAACTTAAACTACACTAAAATAAAAATACTTTTTCTCGTCTAAATTGTTATAAATTTCATATGTTGCTTCACAATGAAAAAATGGGATTTATTTGAGCATGAAGTATAAATTCCCAACTTTTGCCTCTTTAAATTTGGTAACAATAGCATTAAAAATGTCAATTTTGCCAAAGCATAAACCACATGCAGCATGATAAAAAAGGGTTGTCACTTACTTTTTGAAGAATAATTTGTCCAAAATATGTATCCGTTATCCAAGATGGCCGCCGAGCCAGAGCAAAACTCCCCACTTTGTAAGACATTTTCTTATCTCCAAAATCACTATTTTTTTGAAGCACTCAAGAGTGTTTATGAGACATATTTCCTCTTTTCAAAAGAATTTGGTTTTGAAAAACACAAAAAAACAAACAAATGTGTTTTACTTGTTTCCTTCTTTTCGCCACTAGGGGGTCAACCAGTAAAAACTGTCAGAAAAATCCAGAAAGTTCTATTTTTTTTTAACGTAAAACCATTGAATCCTTGACATCAACATATCAACCTCTCTGGAATTTTATTGGCTACATGTCTATGGTGTTACAGCAAAAATCCGATTTGATTTGTCGATCCTGCAGCCAATCAAATCCACTGTCCGACCTGTGGGACACGTGGGGTTAGCCGACTGTAAATGGCTGTATTGAAGTCATAGAGCCCACTTGGTCAAAAAGGGTGTCAAGATAAAGGTAAGAACCAGAGGAAGTTGTCTGACATCCTGGTTTTCAAAATAAAAAACCCTGGTAGCGTCTGGAAATGTTTCATGGAAGAAACCGCACCGTTTTTGCCCACATGTGGAACAACAACCGCAAGTTGGCATAAGTTGTCTAGTGTGACAGGGCCTTAARCAACAAAACAAAATCTCTTTCCCTCTCATTTTCCTTTTTGACCCTAATCCTCTTCCGTACATTTGCCATTAATGTTTTTCTTTTATTCAATTTTAATCTGTGCGCCAAAAAACTAGGGAATGTGTTAATTTCATAATGATAAAGTATGTGTCATTACTATTAATTACCATTAAGTTAAATACATAATGAGACCTATTTGTCTCGTTTCTGAATCTGATTGATATGTCTTTGTTTGCTCTCTCCTGTAAGTGTGTATGCAGGTCCACACGCACCAATCTGTGTGCTAAATTGAGCAATTATGGCCCCTCTTAGGGAAAAAAAATTGATCTCATTAGGGATTAAATGGTGGATGGCAAACAGTGGGTCACACATGGGGTGTGTTTGTGTTTTAAGGGGAAAGTGGTAACAGGAGGCGAGGGGTAGCAGGTGAGCGCGAGGTGCACACGTGTGGATATTGGCGTTATTTGCGCAGGCAGGGGTAACAGATGGCAAGGGAAATTATGGGCGTGTATCTGTGTCTGTGGATGTTTGAACTGCACGATTAAAGGGGATAAAAGCACTTGGCGAGAATCGCTGACAGTTTTTTTTTTTTAAATTTCATGCTCTTGTTATGGGTTTGAAAAATTGACTGAAGGTGTGAGGAAAGTAAGAGTATTTATCTGTAAGCCCTGTGTTCTGGAAATTAAAGTCTTTATTTTACGAGGGTCAGATTTGAAAACGGAGGTCTTCGGTCTTGTCTGCAGTCGATTAGAGTGGACCGTGTCTCAGTGGGGGGGATACCTCCAGAGCGCCGCCCAGCTGCTGAGCTGGATGGAGGTGGTCAAGCGAGAGGTGTGCGCCCCTCTTCCACCCCAGCCGGGACCCAGGGAGAAGGCCTCCCAGTTAGAGAGACTCAGGGCTCTGGTGGCCGACCTGGAAGACCACCAGATGGCGCTCTCCAGCCTGGAAGAAAAAGCCAGGGAGCTTTTCAAGAAGACAGGTGATGCAGGCTTTAACCATGGAGCTCGCACACAGCTGCAGGTGCAGTTCGATCACCTCACAGCTTTGGTGGAGGTAAAGGGAATATTTTCTTTTATATTTCAAGAAAAACTGCACCTCTTTGTGTGTTCTATTCTAAAATACTTTATTATTTTTTCTGTTTGTTCTGTAGGAGAGAGTACATCTGGCTCAGGGGGTGGTGTTGGAGCACCAGGAGTACCTGGAGGCTGTTCGGGAGCTCACCGATTGGTTGATGACGGCGGGGGAGGAGCTACAGCATTGGTCCGATACATCTGGAGATTCCGCCTCCATCAGGAAGAAACTGTCAAAAGTGAAGGTAAAATTATTAGACATTTTGTTTTTGTGACACGTCAAGAGGTCCTGCATTTATGTGCTTTAAATCAATTATGCTAGTCAACGACCTTTTTTTAGATYTTTTTTAAAGTTTTATTGTCGCCAGGGACCTAAATATCACAGACTTTGCACAATCACATCAACAGAAGAGTCCATCTCGCTGCTGTAGGCTCAAAGTTATTAGTTTGTGGCTGAAACCTGAAGGGTCGAACCGGACAGAAAACACTCGCTTGATTTATTGTATTTTATTTTATTATTGACAAAATGAATGTAGCTAAGTCATTTTAACCTGGTTTTGTATAAACTTGTTTGTTCTTAGCAAGTCCAGGAACACGTGATAAAAAATAGCCTTTGGTTAATTCTGGCGCATTTATTGAAATGTCAATTAATGTGCATTGTCCCTGCCAAATAAAATAAATTAAATTAAMTCWGATGTGAGTTTACGTGTGTGATAGAGGTTCTTCGCCTATAAATTCAAGTGTTTTTTGATAGTTTGCACAAATAGAACAGCGTAGTCATATTTTAGTGAGGTACATAGTTCATTATTGTGTTTTAAATAATTAGAAAATACAGTAATTGGTTTGTTGTACTGTTGATATGGATGTAAAAGCTTTGTTGGGAAGTTGCCTTAAAGTGCCTGTGACATGCATGTTCATGAAATACCAAAAGTCAAATAAAATACATTTATATTTAAGACACTTGACATAATACACATGATTTTACCCATAATGTTACATAATTGGCATATTTTCTTTTGAATTTGGCTCAGCTAAAGTGAAACAGGAAGTGACATCAAAGGGGAACTCTTGTAGAAAGAAAACTCCCAGGGTTTTTTTTATTGAAACAATATTATTTGAACTATGACTCTTTCTCATCTCCCTATGATAGTGATTAAAATAATCTAAAAAAAAACATCAGATTCTTCTCTACAGTCTGTGTTGTTAGCCATTTTAGCAACGCTCTGTTTACATTCAGACATTCCCCTTTGACATCACTTCCTGTTACTGAACATGCAAATATATCAACAACTGTTCMTCGCGTCGGCATGAAATTTCTTTTACAATATGTYATCAGTGTTATCTTTTCAAAAATACATTCAGTTTTATGACAAAATTTGATGTCATAGGCACTTTAAAGCCGGTCGTGATTGTATGCGATTGTGCACAATGTAACAACAATTAAAACTGAGTCAGTATAAGATGACTTTTGACTGATTCAAAACTATCTGTAATACAGTCAATTTTACAGRTGGTTGTGGTAGTTGAGCCGGGTGTTACTCATTGCACCAGATCTTTGTATAAAATTTTAGCATGAAATGTTGGACTTGGACTGTCTGTTAATAAAATATCTAATGAACCAGTAGAAKGATTGAAAATTCCAGAAAGTAATTTTTGGATTTACCTCTGCAACTGATTAACTATTAGAGGTAATGTTTTGGAGTCAAGATGCCCCCCACAGTGCTTTATGGTGCAGTACAATGGCTTTTAATTTGGGAAAGCTTTTTCCTTGTTGTTGTTGTTTTGAATTATGTAAATTTGACCTTTTTTTGTATAGAAAAGAACAAATAGCCCATAGCCATCACAGTAATTTTTCGTTTACCAAGCTCCCTTTCTGTTGTTTCATAAATGAATCCATTCTGCTTAATCGACAGGTGAATACCCATATCAAGTGTTTGTTTATGTAGGAATGGATATTTATCAACCTGTTAAAATACTGGAGGAGTATGCTTCTGATTCCCCTGAAATAGCCTGATGTGAGAATGATTTATGGTATTCCATGTCTTAACACGTCAAAACTGAACTGTTCGTGTTTGTGGTGTTTGGTCGTCACATAATGAGTAATATTATCTGAAAAAAAAAAACTGAACTGTATCTGTTAACAAATCCTTAACTCTTATATTGCCATAGTTTTCAAACAGATGTTTTACAACAGTGTGATAGAATTCCTGCAATTATGTTATGGATATTAGTTTTGCTTTGTCACCCTTGGATTTTCATTGCCCCCCATAAAAAATTTCTAGGGGCGCCACTGCTTATAACAATTAAAAGTGCAATTCTGTATAAAAGTAAAACACATCATGTACGCGTGTTGAACCTTGRAAATTTACACCCAATTTAAAGATGTCAAACCTGCTGATTTTGGTGACGATAACTGATAATTGAAATATCTGGATTTTTCTAATCTCAACGGATGCAAWGAGAGTAAATCATGGAGGGAACTGAAATTGGTTCCCAGCTTGTTTCTCATATCAGAGCCAAATATCTTAATCTCTTTTGTTTCTTTGGTGCCAATTTACTGAATATTATTGTCTTACAAAAGGAGAGAGAAATTAGAGAAGCTGCATTTRCGCTCTCTTTCCTGTTAAATAATTCTGCAATCACAGTGGTGGGGGGAAAAAAATGTGTGGTAAAATTGATTTGCATTTAAATATTACACATGGGCTCTAATTATCACATTGTAAATGTGTGTTTGCAGAGCTATTGAGTGAAGCGTTTCACAGAAGCTATGATGTCTTGTCTGTACAAGGCTGCTGCTGATAAGCACACATTACATGGTCAGATGCTCTTTTAACCGCCTTAAATATCCCATCACACTCAAGTGTTTGCTTTGCACTTTATCTGCTTTGCGTAGTGCTTCTTAACGAGAAAAAAAAAGAGTAGAGGCAGAAAATGGGTGAAAGCATTAAATAATGCCACGAGATAACCAGAGAGCATGCATGATGAACCGGATTAAACTGAAAATGAAGGTGATGTAAAAATGCTGCATTCAGAGAGGGCAGTTTCCTTAGCAGCTTTGTCTCCTGTCCACCTGCTGCAGGAGCGCGTAAAGTGTCGACTCATGGAGGGCCGCGAGCGCCTCAGCCGGGTCCGTCGCACCGCGGCCACCACAGCGGAGCACACGGCGGCGGGAGGCTGCGAGGCCATCGATCGGCAGCTGGGGGCGCTGTCACATGCTCTGGAGCAGTGGGAGGGGGCCGCGCTGAGGGCCCGGGACGGCCTGGAGGGCGCCCTGGCTGTGGCCGAAGCTTCCGAGGAGGAATACGACCGTCTCACTACCTGCCTGGAGGACAAGCTGAAGGAGTTTGATGGACATCTGAGGGGGTGGAGCCAGGAGCTGGTTAAAGCTGAAGGGCGGAGTGCTGGCGAGGAGGCAGTGGAGGGATGGAAGCTGGCCAAGGTAAAATAAATAAATAATAAACAATTAAAACATAATTGTTCTGTGTAAATGTGGCATAAATGCTAAGTGCCGAATGACTTAGCTGAAATTTGCTTAAGATGCTGAAACTAAGTCATTAAAACTAAAAGAAGCACAACATCAGCTAAAAACTAAGAGAAAAAAAATCCACAAATAAAACACTAAATAAAAATACACTTGCTAAAAAGGCCAGAAGTAGCAAAATGCTAGCAAAAATGGTAAAAATGGCAAATGGCCAGCTAAAAGGTAAATGTAACAAAAAGCCACAAAAAGGGTAGAAGTAAATTACAAGCCGCAGATATACGCTAAAAAAACTAAATTGTTAGTGAAAGGTAGCAAATCACTAGATAAAAGTAGTGAACACTAGCTAGAAGCTAAAGGTAGCAAATGACTAGCTAAAAGCTAAAGATTGGAAAAGAGTAGATAAAAGCTAAAAGTAGCAAAATATGAGTCAAAAATGGCAAAGGACTAGCTAACAATAGCAAATAGTAGCTAGAAGCTAAAAATAGCAAAAGTCCACCTAGAAGCAAAAGGTGGCAAAATAGGTAGAAGCTAAAATGAGCAAAATGTGCGCTAAAGGAAGCAAATGACTAGTTCAGATAGTAAACACTAGCTAGAATTTAAAAGTAGCAAATTTTAGATAAAAGCTAAAAGTAGCAAAATGAGAGCTAAAAGTAGCAAATGACTAGCTCAAAGTAGTGAACACTAGCTAGAAGCTAAAAGCTAAAGATTGGAAAAGAGTAGATAAAAGCTAAAAATAGCAAAATATTAGCCAAAAATGGCAAAGGGCCACCTAACGGTAGCAAATAGTTGCTAGAAGCTAAAAGTAGCAAAATTCTACCTAAAAGCTAAAGGTGGCAAAATAGGTAGAAGCTAAATTTTGCTAAATATGAGCTAAAGGTAGCAAATGACTAGCTCAAAGTAGTAAACACTATCTAGAAGCTAAAAGTAACAAATTCTAGATAAAAGCTAAAGATTGGAAAAGAGTAGATAAAAGCTAAAAGTACCAAAAAATGAGCCAAAAATGGCAAAGGACCAGCAAACAGTAGCAAATTGTAGCTAAAAGCTAAAAGTAGCAAAAATCTACCTAGAAGCTAAAGCTGGCAAAATAGGTAGAAGCTAAAATTAGCAAAATGTGAGCTAAAGGTAGCAAATGACTAGCTAAAAGCTAAAGATTAGAAAAGAGTAGATAAAAGCTAAAAGTAGCAAAATATGAGCCAAAAATGGCAAAGGACCAGCTAACAGTAGCAAATAGTAGCTAGAAGCTAGAAGTAGCAAAAGTCTACCTAAAAGCTAAAGGTGGTAAAATAGTGGGTAAAAATTTAACGTAGCTAAATGTAAGCCAACTGTAGCAATGAACTAGCTAAAAGTAGTAAATACTATCTAGAAGTTAAACATAGCAAAATTCTAGCTAAAATCTAAAGGTGGTGAAAGAGAGAAACTRAAAGTAGCAAAACGTGAGCTGAAGGTAGCAGAAACTGGCTAAAAGTGGTAGAGGCTAACCAGAAGTTAAAGTACTAGCAAAAAGCTAAAAGCATAGCAGAAAAAAATTAAAATATAGTTCAAAGAAAACAATGTTTTATTTACTGTATATGAAGAGACCTCCATGTGTTTCTATGGGGGGAAATATTGGCAAACAAATTTTTACATTTTCAAAAGTAAGAGTTACAAAATATCCCAGCACGCACCTCCTGAAGGAGCTAAACATTTTGATACACGAATGGCTAAAATAGTACAACATATGCAGGAGTAGATTGCAAAAACGTAGAGAAAAAACAAACAAACAGGAAAACAATTGTGTGAAAGCTGGATCAACACTCACACAATTAAAACATCACAATGCTGTCATTAATGCATTGTGTTCGAACAATAGTTTAAGCAAAAAAGAAAAAAAGGTAAAAACTCGTCAGACTGGGATGTATGAGGGTTTGCGTGTCGTGTCGAGGAAAGCAATTAACAGTGCTTAATGGAAAGTAACCACAAACACACGCATGTACACACGATGTGCATTCTGCTACTTTTTCCTTGTCAGTAATTATCCTTTCTGTTAGTAATTCCTAAAAACAGATTAGTTTTTAAATCAGCTTTACTGGAAGACCCGAATGATGGTTCCAATCCCATCCAATCTCCAGCTTTCGGTTTATTCTGTCTTCCCCTTCTGCCCCCTCTGCCCCTCCCATTTTAGTTTTTTTATTGCTATTATATTCCACTATCTCTCTCTTCCAAGCGTTGCCTTATTGTTTGTTTGTTTGTTTGTTTGTTGTTTTTCTTTTTGTTCCGTCTCAGTTTCGGTTGAAACTAAGTAAGTTGCTTTTCCTTTCTTGGCTCTTGAAGCTCCTGCTCTTCACCTCCCCCTGCTGCTCCTTCCCTAACCTCCACAGGATGTTTACAGTCCGACAGTTTCTCTTTATTGTCGAGGCCGTGCCAGCGAGGTCCACCTCACACTCCTCCCCAGGCTTCTTCGGCCGAGCCTTTCTCCGGTTTTCCTCAATTTGGGGCTGTCAAAGAACAGAGGAGGAGCCCCCCCCCACCCCTCCCTCCTTTCCCTCTCCGATCCTTTTTCTCCTCCTCCTCCTCCAGCCTGTTTCCTGCGTCCGGCCGTGTTTTCGTTGAGCGCCTGTTTGCGTGCGTTTGAACCAACCTCCGCCTCCGCGAGGGGCTCTTGACAGCTGAATTCCACCGGGAGAGAGAGTGGGAGAGGGAGGAGAAACCTGTAAGAGGGGATAACTCAAACGAGGAAAAGGCAAGGGGAGAGGAGGGGAGCGAAATTAGAACCGTAGCAGGAGGAGGGAGAACAGGAGAGGAGTGCAACGAGTCCAGAAGAGGAGGGTTGTTTAATCGTTGTACGTCAGAGAAAAAGAGAGCGAGCGAGAGCAGATGAGTGAGAGTCGGAGCTTGTACATATTTCATGGCAGAGGATTTCATGACTGTGTGAGTGCAGAATGTGAGGCAGAGCGGGAGAACCACGGCTCCTTCCTGTCACACTCCTCGGAGAACAGAAATGCTATTGAACGGGCAGCACTGTGAGTATGTGTGTGTGCACGTGAAAAGAGTGAGAARGACTGGGTGTGAATAGGAATGCACTGATTGGAGCGCGTCTCCTCTAAGCAGAAAGACTCACACCGCTGCTTTCTGTTCTCAGGATATTCTGGAGGGCTTGCAGAGTGCTGAGCTGATGGCAGAGAAGTTGAAAAGCCAGCTGAACGACCTGGTGCAGTACTCCAGAGACCTGGGCTCGCAGTCAGACCGGGTCACTGCGCTCATCAAACAGCACAACAGGTGAGAGGACGATGCAGACGGGTGGGAAAACGCGTGTTTCCGTGTCATCGGGAGGATTCTTTGGGAACAAGTAGTGATGATTGGAATGCTGAGTGTGGAGCGTCAAAATGAAAGACGCCTTCTCCCCTTTTTCTTTTCACCCAGAGTCTGCTTTTTAAGTTCTGATCCCATCGCCCTCCGCCTTGTATGTGTGTTCATTCATCTCCCCTGTTAGTAAAATATCTTACTGAACAGGTTTTAAAGAAGCTTTCAGAAACTGACCGTTGGGTTGACATCTATTCACTGTCTTTGATGTGGTGGTAGTTGAGACTGATCCACAACTTATGCTCTGACCACTAGCTGAGATCTGTGTTCAAAACTTTACCATTAATAAAATCAACCTTTGTTAGCAAAATATCTCTTGAACCACTGAATTGAGGCGGTTAAGTATGTGGGTGTCTTGTTCATGAGTGATGGTAGGATGGATCGGGGCCTCATCCTCAGTAATGAGGGCGTTGCTTCGGTCAGTTGTGGTGAAGAAAGGGCTGAAAGTCGATTTACTGGTCTGTCTACGTTCCAACCCTCACCTGTGGTCATGAGGTGTGGATCATGACCAAAAGAACCATATCCCGGATACAAATGGTCGAGATGAGCCTCCTTCGTAGAGTGTAGGGCTCAGCCTTGGAGATACAGTGAGGAGCTTGGAGTAGAGCTGCTGCTCCTCTGAATCAAAAGGAGTCAGCTGAGGTGGTTCATCTGATCAGGATGCCTCCTGGACGCCTCCTTTTAGAAGTGTTTTGTGCAAGTCTCACTGACAGGAGGCCTTGGGGAAGACCCAGGACTAGCTGGAAGGATTATGTATCCTCTCGCCTCGGGGTCCCCCAGGATGAGCTGGAAAGTGTCGCTGGGAGAGGGATGTCTGGGTTTCTATCCTGGACCTGTTGCCTCTGTGACCCGACTATGCCTGTGTCTCAATTCAGGGGCTGGGTCCTCATGAGTGCGCATTTGTCGGCCGCATWCGTCACTGCCCTGCGCGGAGGACTGTCCCATTTCGAAGGCTCCTCATCGTGCGGCCAAGGAATGCGGCCGACAAACTCTCGAAATCCGAGGATGCATCGTGTATCCTCACCAGCCGAGGATATCCCAGGATTCAATGCAGCAAAATAAACAGAGAAATGAAGGCGGTGGAGTTTTTATTTTTTTAACGAGTCGTTATCACGGACCGAAGAATTTGTTTTTAAAAGTAAGTTTAGCAACTTAGCTGAGGAAATTTATGCTGCAATAAGATGTAAAATAAAAAAATGCAACTACAAGTTATGTGATTAATGTCATAATATTACGACATTAAGTCATATAAAAATAAAGTCATAATATTATGAGAATAAAGTCAAAATATTACGAGATTAAAGTCATGTTAGGAGACATGTTTAGCCTTTACTTGAAAAAGCCTGCAGTTATCACTGCATTAAAATGAGGAATGTTGAGCAACTTGTCAAGTTGTTCTTTAGTATTGCTAYAAATAAATAATTAATCTTTTAGCAAATTTGCATCAAATTATCAGTAGCAGGACTTGGAAAGTGTGCAAACGACTATAAACTGAAGCTGTATTGTAATTAATTGATGCATTGACAGATTTAGCCGGCACRTGAAAGCATATTAATCTAACAGTGACCCAAGTCATCACAGACTACTTTATAAACACAGACACATGGCTGTACAGCAGGTGAGAGGAAAATAAGGAAATGAGGAACGGAAAATGGACACGTCATGTAGGATTATGACTTTTTTTCACATAATATTATGACTTTAATCTCATAAAATTACAACTTTTATCTCATAATATTATGACTTTATTCTCATAATATTATGACTTTATTCTCATAAAATTATGACTTTTATCACATTGACACCCATTGTCCTCTATGTCAATTTTATCAAAGGAATTAAAAGACAAAAAGATCCAAATCTTGACCAYGTGCAAACTCCACTTTATTGTTGGAACAACAGCAGAAAGTTCCAAATACAGGAGACACTTTTACACTTCTGTTTGTGTTAAATGACTTTGTTCATATGACCATCAAAGAGAGGTGTGAGGTTTCTCAGCCAGGCGAAGGTGAAAAGGTGAGAAAGAGACACAGAGCCACTGGTTGCTACGCGACATTTCATCACCTCCTCTCACCTCCGGCAGTTCACGTGTCTCGCTTTGTGGAGGTGTCGTATCCAGAAATACAGACTAACATTGGCAGCTTGAATTAAAACAAAAAAAAAAGGCTGGCATGGGAGCAACAACTAGTATAGGCTCTGCTGMTGAGTGAGGTGAAGCTGAGGAACTGATGAGAAGAGAGGCTGCAGCTGTGGCTGAAGAAACAGAGCAGGTGGAAGTGGGCGTGGCTGACTGTGGAAAAGAACTGACTGAGACTAAGGGCACAGAGGAGAACACAGCTAAAGGAACAAACACGAAAAGAGAAGAATGCAACAAAATAAACAGGAAGTTGAATGGCAGAAAACACAATTCTTGACATCATGGTTTGTATCCTTTTTCAAGGATTTGTGTATTCTTTGTGACATGCTTTAGTTTTGTTACGATGCWCTAATTGCCTGCTTTGAAGCAGGTGTTCCCTCTGAGCTTTTTTTTTACCGTGAGTGTGTCATGTAATTAAAGCAGCCATAGTAAATACTTCCACAATAGTACAAATACTTGTTTTACTTTCCGTGTATGTGCTGCACCGGGACTCACTTATGGCTCCGATCCCGGATGAGGTCAGCTTGTTGGAAATGCTTTTGGCAGTTAATTGGCTTTGGGTGCCGACTGGCAAAGCAGCACCTTTTCTGAATGACTTAGCTGTCAGTCTGTCAGAGACTTGGCCTGTGCTCTGTACGCACCTGTCCTGCATCMAGCAAGTCAGAGAAAAAGTACCAGAGAAGGGATAGAGGGGGAGAAACGTCCCTTCCGTGTCGTAGCAGATTCCAGATTTGGTCTTTCACAGCTTATTTTACACCCATGTCCACCTCACTGTGCTCACTTTTAATTCCCTCGTCACACCATTAAAACAAAGGGTGTCAATTTGATAAATTTGAAGGGTGTTTATTTGATAAACATTTATTTTAACTGTAAAATAAAGACTGTAAAAAATACTGTAGGATGTTTAGTTTTTATAATTTTTAAATTAAAGTTTTAAAAATATATTAAATGGACAGACATTTTATTTACACCTCAGTTTAGCTTGTTAGTTTGTCACACTGGCGCCAAGGTATTATAAGGATATATAGCGTCGGCGCTAGCGCTAAAGCTAACAGGCTAAGCTGAGGTTCTTCTTCCATGAAGCAGCTCTGTTGTCCTCCATCCATATTTTCAGTTACAGGCTGAGTCATTTCTACCTTCTCCTCTCTGTCAACGCTCTGGTTTCATTAAAAAATATATACAGCGGGTAAAATAAGTATTGAACACGTCACCATTTTTCTCAGTAAATATATTACTAGAGGTGCTAATG